AATAATTAAAATTTCATTGTTGGTTTAAATTCATTTTTTGCTATATTTTCTATTAATATCATTTTGTTTTAGCTTTATCAATAATACAAAACACTAAACCTACATATATTGCTTGCAGAAAATAAATAATTCAAAGAATAATTTTAAATTTATTATGAAAATATTAATACCAAAGAATAATTTGGGTATTATTTTAAGTTTTTTGGATTGATTAGAAAGATTTTATACATCTTTTTTATGGTCTATTATTATTATACACCTATTGTTTAAACATCATTATGTTTTATTTCTACTTCAATTGGTGTAATGTTTATTCTATATTAAAATCCATATAATACAAAAAAGGAATTTTATTCTTAGCTTATTTCAGAATTAAGTTTAAGTTTAATCTTATTAATTACAGTGTTATTTTCAATAAATGATACAAAATAGATAATTTTTATACAGGAAAATACTGTAAACTTAGGTTGGGCTGTTATATCATTTGTTCTATTAGCAATCTTTGTTTAATTATTTGGATTAACTTATGGATTGATTACAAATATCTACTAAATAATTTTGAAAATTAAAAATTATATCTACAGTTTAAACAATAATAAAATTGAATAAGATAATTAAATCCATGGCCTTGAAGATATCTAAAATAAATCAAATTTGAATTAAATCGATGAAAATTAAATAAAAGAATAGAAAATAATAAGAATAAAAGAAAACTAATTATAAATAATTGATTTATGAAATAATATTTAATTATTTAATTAGAATTTAGATGGTTTATTATTTATTCGAATTAAATTTTTATTAATTGATTTATAAATATTTAAAAAAGAAATCAAATAATTTATTGGATTTAGCATGTTTAAAAAATCTTTTTTTTATTATATAGTTATTAATATACCTAAATATGAACATAATTCATAATAAAAATAAAAGGCATCTATTACATTTTTAATCTAAAAATATAGTATTTATTTTTTATCAATAGCTCTCTCTCAAATTTTTGGCAACATTATAAAAAGTTATTGCATAATTTAGTTTTACATCTAAAAAATACTTAAGCTAAAATATTAT